TACTCACACACACACACACACACACACACACACACACACACACACACACACACACACACACACACACACACACACACACACACACACACACACACACACACACACACACACACACACACACACACACACACACACACACACACACACACACACACACACACACACACACACACACCACACACACACACACACACACACACACACACACACACACACACACACACACACACACACACACACACACACACACACACACACACACACACACACACACACACACACACACACACACACACACACACCACACACACACACACACACACACACACACACACACACACACACACACACACACACACACACACACACACACACACACACACACACACACACACACACACACACACACACACACACACACACACACACACACACACACACAACACACACACACACACACACACACACACACACACACACACACACACACACACACACACACACACACACACACACACACACACACACACACACACACACACACACACACACACACACACACACACACACACACACACACACACACACACACACACACACACACACACACACACACACACACACACACACACACACACACACACACACACACACACACACACACACACACACACACACACACACACACACACACACACACACACACACACACACACACACACACACACACACACACACACACACACACACACACACACACACACACACACACACACACACACACACACACACACACACACACATAGTTTTTTAAAAATGCGATAAAAGAAATAAATAATATCTCAACCGCCTCAGATACTGAATCCGCAGAAGCGAGAAAAATAGAAAAAAATAATAAAAAATAAATAAAAAATATAAATCAGAAATAAAGGTTATAGATAAATTAAATAATACACAAAATAAGGATATTACCAAGATAAAGAAAACTAGTAAAATAAAAATATAATTAATCATCATGGCATAATCATTAAATGCGTTCTTTGAATAAAATTTCGTCCATACTTATTAATTATAAAAAAATTATAATAAATTTTATATTATTTGAGTTCTACCAATGGGTAGTTTCTCTTCATGTTGTACATGTCATGTTACCAATTTCACATTTACTTATTGTATTTTCTATGTAATACAGTTGTAAATTGTAAAAAATTTATATTATGATTTCAAATGGAGTAGGATAGCTTAGTGACTAAGTGACTGAGCTCCTATTGTCATGGCCCAGGTCCGAGTCTGGCTAATGAAGATAATTATATTTTCTGTCACAGCTTAGGTCAGAAGGCCCTCCTGGGGTTCACCCAGCCTCTATGAAGAGTGCAATCTTATTATTATTATTAAGAGATTATAAATCATTTCAACTGTCGGCCTACAAACCGTAGTTCCTTACAACGTAATGAACCCCTTCATGTGTTTTACTCGTATAGATTATGTTTTATTTTATTTTTAAATTAAAGAGTAATATACAGTATAATGAATATTATAGTTAATAATCTAATTACCTAAATATGCTTATTAAAACACAGTTATAGTTTATTAAAATTCAATTTCATGCATAAATATTAGTTTTTCAAGTATTAGAAATATTTCAGTATAATTATTGTATTTATTTTATTTTTTTGTGATTTTATGAAGTACATAATAAACGATTTTTAAAGTTGATTCGGATGTTAATTTGTTTTTAAGACAAGATATGCCCTTTAATTTATACATTTTTTTTATGAAATACTTCCGATACTTCATCCTAATAAGAGAGGTGAGAGGGAGTTACTTTGGGCCAATCTATAATGATAAATAATAATCGATTCTTGCATATTTATATCGTATTTACAAATAAGCGTATTATGTTATCGTTATCAGACAAACAAAATCTTCATTTTATTTATCATACATCTTATCAACTGTTTCCAATGTATAAACTTTCCATTAATTTAATTGATTCTTTTGTCATAGGAGTACAAAATTCATGTATATATGAGGAGCTCAAAATCCAAAGGCCTCCATGTCGAGTTTTTTTTTAATTGGGTGCATTAAATTTTTCAGTCCAATTTCGATGCTCATCCATTTACTAGAAATTTACTCGGGGATTATCTTATTCTATTCATATAGATAGTTATTTAATTTGTTTATCCATTCTTTCCTCACCTCTAAGGCAATTTTCTCGATAGGAGATAGGAGTTAAAAGCTCCCCCGGTATCATGGCGCGAACTCATAATTATTTTATACCTTGTAAACTTCGGTTTTTTATCTGGTTGCCGAGCATAGTTTCATGAAAAAATCTGACATTATTGTTTAATATAAAAAAATTTCTGATATACTTACTGGGCTTGCATTTTTTAATTTCAAATTATTAGATCACTCTGAAATTCATTATTATCAGAAATGATCTACGCAAGATCATAATTTAAAACCAGTAAAAATAAAAAACCGCGGCAAATTATTTCACAATGGTTTATTATTTTGAAACAATTATACATCTAAAGTAACATTATCTTCCTAGTGACAAAGAAAAAGAAATAAAAGGTGATTTCTAATTATTGGACTGAACATTTTTTTTTTAATCATTAGTAATTTGCTAAAAAAATTAGCATTACTTCAGTAACACATTCAAAAACGAAAACGAAAACAAAGGATATAACCTTTGCAGTAGGACATAGAAACATCTAGAGACCATATTTTTTCTCCTAATTGTCCGATTATTTTTTTTAGTAAAATACGTAAACTTTTAAATAATTATATACAATATTCACAAAAAAGTGTATACTTTTTAAGTTATTCGGAATTTAATTCTATTATCCCTCGTAATTTTTTCCCCCATCTTTTTCATTAAAGTATGTTACATATATACATTTAAAGAGCGTCGAGAAGAAGACTTTAGCGAAGTTTCATTAAAATTGGTACATTCTTTTAGTAAAATTATCCATAAAGATCTTAATGTTCCTTATGTTTCAGATCTGGCCCAATCCAGATACCTATCCTTCCATAATAAACTTCAGAATCATCCCAACCCTCTCGTTTCTAACCTTGCTTCCTCTTCAATTCCTGATAACCCTCCGAGGCGTCTGAAAAGAAGATGGCCCCGTGATCTCCTAATATAGTCATATCATTAGAGTGCTACCATTGGGTAGTTACTCAGCAAGTGTATTCATGTCATTATATCAATTATGTCCAAATTTACTTGATGTATTTATGTAATACAGTTGTAAATGTCATAAAGAAATAAAAAAACAAAAAAAAAAACATTCTTTTAGGCGCTACAGTCTATAGCAACGCAGGTTTTTCGGTCGCCATCTTGAAAGGAACAGGCGGATAGAAATGTCGATGAAGGAGGATCATCCTCGGGTGACCTCTAATTTTAAAAATAAAATTTGAAAAAAATCGGTCCAGTAGTTTCGGACGGCGGACAGACAAAAAAAATTGTATCCGTTTTTCGAATTCTACCTATTCTGAGATGTAAATTGAAGTTTTGAGAGGAGATTATGTTTTTGAATTTTTTGTTCGATTCAATGGTTCATTATTGAAAATAATAATAAACTAAATTATCGATATTCGAAAAAAAAATTATGGCCTGGTTTTTATAGTGTTATAACTAGCACCAAAATATTTTAATAATAATAGTAAGTTTAGAGTGGTCTAAAGTAACATGTATCAAAAATATTTTATTTACTTTGATCGGTTCTAGATTAACTTTTATTTATTTATTTTTTTTTTTTTTGAGGCAGAACAATATTGATATCATTATCAAAAACACGAGAAATAAAATGAAACACTTAAGCCGTTATTTTTATTTCTCAGATCTTACGATCCATTGGACGAAAACGTCAATGAATTTATTTTTAATGCAGAATCATTACAAAAGTTTTGATCGAAATAAGTAATGCATGCACTTAGTCTGTGGTACAGACCCCTTTATTTTATCAAATTATTTACATCCATCCAAAGCTTCGTAAATAGCTTCATTTCATCGGAATCTAGTAATATTTTATTTACGAAAATTCTCAGAATTTGGGCGTTGTCAATCTGGAAATCATGAAACATTATCTATTTAATTAGACACTAAAAACTCATAAATACTCATTTCTTTTCCAGTTATATAACCTAATAAAAAAAAATATTTGGATTATTCTAACTTTCGGGACGGGGGTCACGCAAAATGGACCAATATTTTTGTAGACCACCTTTTTTTCTCGACTTTGTGAGCATATTAGTTTACGATTCAAGTGGATACGAAATGGTTGTTGATGAGTTTTTAATACCTAGTTAGTTCCAGAAAATTTTCAATAATAAAACATTTATAGGTTACAATAATATGAAACTATTTACGAAGCTTATGGTGGATGTTAATAATTTAATAAAAAGCGGTCTGTACGTCGGACTAACTCCGCTTTTTAGTGGCAATAAGATTCGGGTATGAAATATGATGTGAAATTTCCAAAAATAATTGCATAGAAATACCCAATTCAAAAAATTATTTTTTTGAAAATTCTGAAGTTATGTTAAATTATTCACAAGTGAAGAAATAATCTAATAAACACGATTATACTAAACTCGCCACACATTTCAGTTCTAGAATTTCAGTAGGAAAATACTCGAAACGAAAATAAGTCAATATTTACATTTTATTAATTGGACCACTTGGATTCTGGCTCTCGCATTTTTTTTTTTTTTTTTTTTTTTGTAGATACTCATATCATATTTGAAAATCACGCACTCAGAAATTACTTAATAATTGAAGGAGGGAGATCATGCCATATTGACGAATTGAGGTGCAAAGATACATTACAGTAATCGAAGACATCATATAAATAGCAAAGAGAACATTATCAACTCTTCAAGCAAAAGCATTGATATGTTTTTCTATTTTTTTTTTTTTTGCTGTTTAATGCCACATAATGCAATAATCGGTTTTCTTTGATTTATTTAGCGATTTATGATACTTAAGTTACCTGTCCGGAAAGTGTGAAACAGAAGAGAAGAAGTATCTGAAAAGGCAGTTTAGCTTTGTAAGACTTGTGTGACCAAAGTCTGTGCGCACCTCCTGTGACACCAAGTCCTCCCAAAACGCACGTAAACCATCCTGAAAAATTCAAATTCAAATTGAATCGTTGAAGTTATATTTATTTCATGCAAATTTATATACAAATATGTAATGTGTAAATTGAAAAATATTGATCATTCTTATTATATATTTTATTTATGGGTTGATAATAATTATCCTGTTGTACCTTGCTAGAAAAAAGTGTAATATTATCTAACAATCTAATCAACCGCCGCTTATCTCAAGTATATATATATTTTGATCGAAATAAGTAATGCATGCACTTAGTCTGTAGTAATACATGCACCTTCTCCAATTTAAGTCCTCAATCCATTCACTCACTACAAGATCCCGACCCTCTGACCTATACATCCCTTCTCATAGATCTGCCTCATTCCAAAATTCCTTTATAGCCCGCTCTGTCAACTTTTGGAATTCCCTCCCGATCAAAATTCGACATGCCCCTTCCCTGTACACATTCAAAAACCTCCTATTTCAATTCCTGTTCCAAAAACAGTCAGATACCAGCTAACGATTAATATTATATATGTATTGTGTAGCAATCATAACACTTGGTAAGAGATAGTACATGCATTTCCTACTATCGACGTAGGAATTTCAATACATACATTTTTTTGTATTTTTTTTTTTATTCAATTATAAGTAACTGTTTATTTTCATATATATATTCAAGTAAAGTTTTTTTTTTTATGAAATGAACTCATTGTATCTCTTTTTCGTTCTTCATTTCTCAAAGTGTATGTTTATGTTGTTCAACCCTTAAATATAATTTTGTTCATAGTTCAAATGATTCGTTCATAGTTTTAATTGTTTTATTCATAATTTTAAATGCTCTGTACATAGTTGTATCTGTATTGTATATAGCTTGTGCACCTAAGGTTTTCTTTACTTTTTATTTTATTTTATCAATGTTATTTATTGTTTCAACGGTCAGGCCAGTAATATTCTATTATTCTGTACATTATTGTTATTCTGAAGGGACTTAGTCCCAGAATAAAGTTTTTTTTTCTATCTATCTATCTATATATATATATATATATATATTTTTTTTTTTTTTTTTTTTTTTCGGTTGGCGCTACAGACCATAAAGATCTTTGACCGTGAGTGTGGTGGTCTCCTGGGCCACATCCCGGTTCCCAATTTAAAGTACGGGATAGGGTCATCAATCCTACGCCCAGTCGGTGTGAGTTTCCGCCAGTAGCCTGACGGGCCTAACATACCCAAGGGGGAGGAATCTCGGACAGCGTGGCTTTCCTTGTTTCCTTGGTGGACGGTCACCTATCCAAGTGGACGATCACCTATCCAAGTGGACGATCACCGCTCGGTATTTCTTAACTTTGATTACCTATTGCAAGCGCCTAGATATTTGAATTTAAATGTATCCACATACAAAACTGAAACGACAAGAAACTGATCGATATTTCTGCTTATTCCAACACTTAATAGATAATTAATTACAAAAGACTAATATACTTGACTATACTAAGACCTATTTGGATTTACGTAGTTGAGCTATGGGGCTCCACTAAACCATCAAATTTCCTCTCGTATCCAATCCTTACAATCCAAAATCCTTCGTAACATTCTAAATCCTCCTTATTTTATCACAAATAAAATAATCCATAATGACCTTAATGTTCCATATGTTTCCGAAATGGCCCAATCCAGATACCTATCCTTCCATGATAAACTTCATAACCATCCGAATCATCTCGTTTCTAACCTTGCTTCCTCTTTGATTCCTGATAACCCTCCGAGGCGTGATCGTGATCTCCTAATATAGACACATTATTAGAGTGCTACCAGTGGGTAGTTTCTCAACAAGCGTTTTCATGTGATTATACTGCTGTGTACACATTTACTTGATGTATTTATATTGTAATACAGTTGTAAATATCTTAAATAGTTAAAAAACTTAAATTTAAATGTGTGTGATTCCTGTAAGGGTTGTGGTCAGAGTTTTCTAAAAATAGAAACCGATAAATTAGTTTTAAGCTAAATTAGAAAATTGTATCTTTATTTATATTGAGAGCAAGATAGCCCTGAGAGTAAGGTATTGTGTTCCCATTCTCCGAATCCTGATTTTGATTCAACTGGGTAATAGCAAGTATTTATTCTGATACAACAACCAGGAACCGATCCACAAACACTGGCTCTATAAAGTGGATATTCTTAATTAAACATTTATTTAAGGAGTAAGTATTTGTTGTTGAATATGATCCCGGTCGTATTATTTGCTTGCACTACAGTTGATCAAGAAGCAGTGTTTCCTGGTAACGTACTGGACCCAAATCTCTCTAATGGTTTTTTTAAAGAGTTTTCCAAAGAAACAGCGTTTTCTGTTCGTTAAGTACTCTAATTTTACATAAAATCACTATTTTCTGAACCTAGGTTGATCTTTCTATGAGATAGAAACCTATTTATAGGAAAATATAATTTAATACAGAAAAGTGATTAGTGAATAGGAATCTGCAAACATTTATTATACCTTTTATATAGTAATTCTCTATCAAATATACATTACTTTTGAAAGATTTAAAATCTATGTATATATAGAAAGAAAACATTCCTTGTACCATTATGGTTTCTAACAGAATAGAAAGAAAGATAATAACATAAATAATTGCTAAATAATTCATCATTCTTCAAATTGATCATACAGCAGCGGAAGGGGGGCGAGGAGAACCATGGCTCCCCCAATAAAAATAGAGAGAGAGAGAGAGAGAGAGAGAGAGAGAGAGAGAGAGAGAGGACGCGAATACCGTTTTACTCTCCCTCTCCTCTTCTCCTCCACACTCTCCTAATATTTCGAAGAACAAAAATAAAATCAAAATCCATAACAAGTAATCTACATGAACGAATAAAATATGTGTACCAAAATCAATTAAGGAAATAGAAAAAGTTGAATAGATACCTCAATACGCAAGTTTTTTACCACGCCCTATGTTTCTACAATTCAAATTTTAGTTTATATTCAAATATAATCATATATCGCAACATATTCTAGATTTTTATGATTCATCCATGCGCACCCTTTCATTTTTTATGACAAGATTGTAATACATTTCCCGAGAAAAATATGAAACATCGGAGAATTTTCATTTCAATACCTCAAACCTTTAAATAAAAATAAATAATGTATTCAATTGTTCTGTTAAGATAATTTCAAATGTACCCTTACGTAAAAGAAAATACATAAACATAATATTATATTGTTTGTTTTACAATGATTATGTAAATTATCGCTTTTTAATCATATAAACTCCAAGATGTATTTTTGAGGTGTAGGAGAGAGTTCATCGCCATCCCCTCCTCCACACAACCAGAATGTAAAGTCTGCGTCTACGGCTTAAACAGAAAAAGTAGCAAAAACTTTCATTACAGTATGAATTACTTTGCAGAAATTGGAGTTAGAGTAAAGAGATCTTATATTCTAAAAAACGATGATTTTTTTGTCAGACATAAATGTAGAGAAAACGTCATGGCTGTATCTGTTTGAAGTCAATGTATAGTTGAGGACTGTTGGTGCGAAGGCACTTTTGGACCCACAATATGTTTTGTAGAGGAGGCAGCCCTCTTTTTCGCTATCTTGCAGTAGCTTACTTAAAATTACTCAAAAAAAGTTCGTTAAATGGAATGGATAATAGTTATATTATCCAGCTAATAAACTTATTAATGAGCTACTCCTGTATGTATAGCGTTCCACTCTAAACCATGCATATGCATTGAACTCTGTTATCATGTTACACTAAGATTGGCTCCAAATTTTCTTTAAAGTCAGTCCCATTATAACAACACACAAAACTTTAAGGTGATCGTATCTTTGGGAAAACATTAAAAGCACTCCACGCGTTCACAGGAGTAATTCACGTTCAATCATAAAGCGTGAAATAAAAGAAAGCCACTCATATTTTTGTAAAGAATAGAAGTGTTTTGACCATCCTCCCAATCTCAAATCTTTCAAGAAATATCTCTTTTTATTCAAATATCTATATCTCGAAATTACACAATAAGTTAGGAAAACCATCAGAATGCTGATGAAATGATGCGGCAATTATTTTAACTCCAAAGTCCTAGCTCGAAAATACATAGCGTGATATCCTAACAAGAATGTCTGAAAATTAGTCATTTTTACTTGTTAACTTTGGATTGGCTGCTAAGATAGCCTGATGAAGTGATCTTTCCTCATTGATGTTATCTTACAGGAAATTCTAAGATTATTTAGAAAATGGTGAGAAATGCTCGATTACATGATGATATCTAATCGATTAGTAGGATATATTTACTTATTTATATAATTAAGTTGTTTAGTTAATAAACATATTTATTAAATTGAGAATAGCTGCAGAGAAACGATCCGAGTGAGTTGAACAATTTTAAAATGAATGAGATTAAAATGGGAGTAAGTATTTGAAGTATAAGTCAGTAAGAAGTGAGAGTCAGCTTGTGGATCTCCATTATCTTACCAAAAATTAATGACAACTGTCGTTTAAAAAACAGGCGTACTACGTTTTCCCATCTTTCTAGACGCTGTTTCCAGATGTCCTTCATGCCCTGACCATCCTCAATTCAAGAATGTTGATCCACTGTCCTTGACCCTGATTGAAGGTACGCCAGTAGGATTGGCCATTTCCGAGCTCGTGCCGACTTTCAGACTGTTGCTTTACGATAAAAACAATTGATGAAGAGATTAAAAAAAAAATCAATAATTCTGCTGTATTTTTATATATTTTATTTTTTCAACTTTCATGGCCTAATTTTTTTTTTGTATATATTTATTGTATTTGTTTTATCGTTGTAATTCGAACTTATTTTCAAAAACCCGTAAAAATATATCTCCTCAAAACTTTTTATGGCGCAGATTGCGCCATGAAATCTCCTGATTTTATGCTCTTCAGTTTAAAACTCAATTTTAAGATGCGACTTTTTGCATTTATAGTAGAGATATACATTGTTATAAATATAATATGATTCAGTTTATAATATAATTTATATTATAATAGTATCGATTTGGACTGATTAGTATGCTGAGTGATTTATCAACTCAATACAGTATTGAGTAGCCGTACAATTCTATTGTGCTTTTCTCTGGATTCTTATAGTTTTAATCAAAATAAATTTATCTATCATTCATCTTCTAGTTATCATAATTTTTTATGATTATTATACTTATGGATCTATCCTGCTTCAAACGACAATTCCTTCTTGTTTTCTTTTTCCAGGTCCTAGGAACCAAAAATCCTCCCTATATCGTGGAACTCCTCACTCTACGTTCCTCTATCCACCCTATTAATACCAGATTCAACCTATTGATTTATATATCCCTTCTCATAAAACTACATCCTTTAGCAAATCTCTCGTCATGCCGTGCTCCCTCCTTCTAGAATTATTTACCTATCAACATACGTCAATCCTCATCCTTAAATTCCTTCAAGCAACTCCTATTCTACCACCTAGTTCATTCCCAAACTTCCGTACGTATGTAAAACTTATTGGATTCTGTAATTACAACTGTCCACTAACAATTCATGGACAAAGTTCCATTTGATTTGATTTTATTAATTTATTTTTTCTTTGTATACATGCAAACCATATAAAATGTTCTGGTGTTACTTTGTTTACTATTGTTGTCCAAGTATGATTGCGATAGCAATTGAAATTCACATTCAAATGACAAGAACCTCTTTGTATTTTACTTTGTATTTTAGTGTACCAGACTAATAGACCAATGTTTTGTACCATGTTATTATTATTCTTAGGGGACTCAAGTCCCAGAACAAAATTATTTTTTTTATTTTGAAACAAAAATCGTCCTTGTAACGGTCGACCAGTTTATTTTAATATTTTATTGACTGATTATTAGAGTCTATACTTTAATGAAATTGCTCATAAAAACGTCGGAAATAATAAAATTATATTAATGGAAACGAATTTATTTTGGTGGCTTTTGGTCAAAAATCATTTAAATAATAAATAATAAGATGGTACCAAACATGAAAAGTTATATTTTTACTGTGCAAGTTGGCTAACACAACTTTGTAATGTATATGTTAATTTATTTACACGCAGCATTATATATGTTAACTGGGGATATATTTTCCCACGATCAGAACATTCTAGAGTTTTTTCAGACAATTCTATTTTTTTTTTTTATCCTATCATTGTCTTTACTTTTTTGAATTTAACACAATCAGGGGAAGGGGAGAGGGGACGATTGGCTAACAATTGGTTGTATTTAATATAACCCTGATGGTGTTATGTTCTAAGTAAAAGTAAAAACAATGGGAGGATATGAAAAAACAACAACATATAAATGTCAAACAAAAGTCGAGATGGTTCTGATGATTTTAAAATATATATATAATATGTAACGCTATGTGACGAATGAAGTAAGCATATGAGTCACAAAGGAAGTTATATTTGTCAAGATCATTGATATAACCTAAAACTTCCAAACAAAAGAAATTAAAAAAATAAAATAAAATAAAAAAAACATTTATATTTTTATGTATTAACCTATTTTTAAAAAGGTATTTAGATGTTTAAAATGTAAAAAAAAATTAAATTAAAGTATGGGTGTTGTATATATATATATATATATATATATATATATATATATATATATATATATATATATATATATATATATATAAACTCCGTTTAAAAAATAAACAATTAAAGAGTTTAATTTGGTGTTGAATATTTTGTTGAGCGTTTATTGTATACTGTTGGATTGCATTCAGTGTTCTAGATAACTCATTGAAAAGTATTAGTGTAATTCCCTCCTAATATATCTGTCTCTAATAATAAAATTAAATTTACCATACCTAACAAAGACGGCACAACTAGCGGTTTACTCACCTTCTCAATTGATGGCGTGTCAGTTAAATTACAAACGTTTTAAAGGCTCAATTTACTGTAGTCGTTATCACTCAGGATTTAACAAAATTTAATTAACTCATTTCTCGTCTAAATTTGAAAGTGGTTAATTGTAGGCTAAGGAAAAGTGTCCGAGATATTATTACACTCTTTCAAAACAAGATTTTTATTTAATTCATATAAAACTAAAATTATAACAGACGATCAGTAATAAAGGTGCGTTTAGACATTTCACAAACCTATGAGGAACACAAATATTTAAATTGTTCTTCCCTATATTTTTATTTCTTGTTGTAGCTGATGTCGTGTCAGAAATTAAAAAAAAAAGTTTGATATAGCGCTACTGTTGGTATCAGTTAGGGTAGATAATTGTTTTTTCCCCATAGTTTGTGAAAATGTCTTAAGGTACCTTAAAACTCATCTGAAATTTCCAACAAATAAAAATACCTCTTTAATAAATAAAAAAAAAAGAAACTAAAATGTGTGCTTTAGACCACACGATAGAAGTGAAAACATCAACAAGACAAGATTAATATGAAATATAAATTATAAATAATAGCTCATCATAAAGAGGATGGTATGTGAAATGGAAGGATGGCATGATGAATGCCTAGAGATATTGGAAAGAAATAATATAACATGGAGCGATGGTGATGGTGAGAGAGACAATCAAGAAGTGGAGTTGATTTTTGCAGCAGATGTAATGGGACAAAACCTGACAGGAAGGTTAGAACCAATGACTGAAAATTTGATAGCCACAGAAACCAGACTAGGTTTAACAGTTATTTGCCAAACTAAATCACAGACCTGTTCTATGCCAAGAACACCTATAGGAGGGAGTCCTTTTCAGCGCTTCGACTCTAGTGCAAGTGAGTCTCACCATTCAGTGCAAGCTGGAATATCTTCGACCCATTACAATAGTTTAATAAGGGGTCGTCTAGATGATAGCACTACCAAGAAGACCGGATCGGTACCAGTTAAAACAATAATTCCACGCATTGTATTACCCCCTGGACTAAAGACGTCTGTTACACCTCCAGCTCAAAACAGTCTTCCCAGGAGCATCACAAGATATAATATCAGGTCTGTCGTCAGCCAAAGATCCCCTTCAAAACCAGATCTTCGTCAGAAAATTACAAGTAACAACTGGTGGTACGAATAAGTCTTCATTGTTCTCTAAAGACTTTTTCCAAAACTGGAAGAAGAAAAAAAAAACAACTAAGAAGATTAGTGTATCTCGGAATGTTATTAGCCAGTGATTGTATCAAGACAAAAAAAAAAAGCAAGCATAAAACATTTGTTAAGTGTTATTAAATTAATGATGTAACCTGTAAATTTATTATATTGAATATTTTAAAATTTGTTTTGTTATTTTAAATCAGTTTACGATTTAAAGGTGAGAGTGTGCAGAGTTAATGCATGTTATCAGGCAGCACTGTAACTGCTATAAGCAAAGGCAGGTTGGCTTAGATGATGTTACCCAGAGAGCAGTAGCCCTTTGTTCCTGATAGTGTGATGTTTATGTAGAGGAATAAAAGTGTTTTGTGTATTGTGATATAAAGTTTATCAACACAGTCTCATTTGTTTCCTCATTTGTATCATATAGTGGCTTCCCTTGTGTGGGAAATTAAGGATAATGAGCGCTGAAGAGTTAAAAACTGCCAAATAGTTAATAAAGCCTCATTTATTTCCTGAAAAAATTTTCAAATATAAAGAAGTGGTCACTTCAAAACACCTGTTTTATCAGGTTACACACGTTCACTATAATTCCATTCTTAATAAAAAAATTTTATAAGATAGATTTTATATGATACATTTGATTAGTGTACTTACCCCAGAGGAACAAGGACCACGTGAGTTCGGGAAAGTAGGTCAGCGTAGCATAAACTGCATAAGCATGAATAAAAAAGATCGATGCTATATTGACCCATATCAGTTCCTGCTTTTGCTCGCTTTTCTTCTCGTCCCCATCTATTACATAAAGCATTGTTTTAATATTTGTGATTATAGTTTTATTTATTACATTAAACATTATTTTAATACTTATGATTCGAGTCCTTGGTACAGACCCTTTTTATCAAATTATTAACTTCCGCCTGAAACTTCGTAAATAGCTTCTTCTCATAGTAATCTGCAACTATTTATTTACTAAATTTCTCGGAATTGGGGCGTTTTCAATTTGGAGATTGCAAACTTTGTCTATGTAATTAGGTACTAAAAACTCGTAAATATCCTTTTGCTTTCCACTTGAATCGTACGATAATTTGAGCACAAAATCGAGAAAAAAAGTGACCTACACTCCTAAAATTTCAAAATAACTACAACCACCTTTTTTCTCGGTTTTATGATCAAATTATTTCATGATCCAAGTGGAAAGCAAATCGGTATTTACGAGTTTTTAGTACCTAATGAAATAGACAAGGATTGCCGACTTCCAGATTAAAAATGCCTTGATGATGAGATGATGCAATTCACGAAATTTCAGGCGGATGTTAATAATTTGATAAAAATGGGTCTGTACCACGGACTATTATTGTTTTATTTATTATTCAAAACATTATTTTATTAGTTAAACTAATCCCCTGTTCATAGATTTAAAGTTGATTATATTTAAGCTTTTTAATAAAGGCACCTGGATCATGTCCTTCTATATTTAAAATAACAATGTCTTTTATTAATAAACAAAATTTGTTTTATTAAAAAACAAATGAAATAAATATTGCAAATCTATCAACTACTGAGAGGAAGGCTCTACCATCCTTTCCAGTAATTCCAGAAACAAAAATGTTTGGAAATTTTACTTGTATGCGAAAACTGTGGTAAAACCTTTCATTCAAGGAGTTACCAAAGAGGTTTTTCATGTATTCATGTAATATATGAAGTGTTTCATTGTTAACTATATTAATTAAAGCCCTTATTTATTACGCTCAATAAATTGTATTAATTAATCCAACCAAGGAAGTTAATAAATTGGGATATTATCGATGGAATGTTGTTCGAGCAAAATAGAAAATTATTGTTGTCAAGTGTCAATATTCACAGCAGGGAAGTCTCAAGTTTAATTATTATATAAGTGTATGAAAAATTAAAATATTTATCCTGTACCAGATGAATGCATTTTTTTTTTTTTTTTTTTTTTTGAAGAGTCAAAGTGTTTTTTATTTTATTTTTGGTTTTAGATGATTTCTATTTCTAGAAGTCAGTTTTGAATAGGTTATGTACAGTTTCAATATGATGTTTAGTATTAATATTGATAGATAGGACCATTACATTAGGGGAGTGGCACGGATGGGGTATGGTTAAAACCATGTTTATGTTATCTTTATATATATATATAGTATATTCGTATTTATTGAGATAATACTAAATATTTATGTGTGGATTTTTAAAGAACATTGAATGAGAAAGAATAGATACTAAAAAATAGGTAAGGATTTAAATAATAACTGTGGTACAAATATTGATAAGTAATGTATGAGACGATTCATTGGAATTAATAAAACGAAATTCTTATTTAATAAAACAATAATTGAAAATGAAGGAGATGGTCCGGGGTTGCGGTCATAAATAGGCTCGATAGTGGTAAAACTATTTTATTGAAAGCCAACGTTTCGACCCGACTTTGCAGGTCTTAATCAGGGCTAGAACGGACAAGATACAAAAAGATAGAGAATTGTGGCAATTACATAATATTTAGACATAATTTATAAACAATGTGAATAAGCTTATTAAAATTATAAACAGTAAGTACAATAAAATATGGACTAAGTAAGCTGAGTAACAAGATCCTAAACTAAAGTAAATAGATGCTAACAATTGTTGTAGTGTAATATATAATAAATGAAAATGTGAGTATAATTCTACAAAATCTACACGAGAAAAATAAAATTAGAGACTTACAGGTGTGTTCATCTAGGAAGCGGCAGCGGTATGGATTGCAGGTATAGGGGAAGTTAACATGTGTTAACTAAGTAAACTTTGAAAAACCCAGGAAATTACAGTATCTAGGAATTTTTGAAGATATGGATGGATACAATGGAAAAATACTATATCTATGAAATATTAAATTATAAATATATAAATATACATATAAAAGAGAGTTGAGAGATACATTGCAATGTATGTATGTTAATGAAGTTATTTCTATATTTATACTTTACTTTTGCCAATTTTGGATTTATTCACATTGTACTCTGATCTAGAATCATGAAATACCTCTCACATCTCTCAACTCTATTTTATATGTATATTTATAATAACTATAATAATTTTATATGTATATTTATATATTTATAATATGTATAGTAACAACTAACCCAGTTGTGCGAAGGTAGTACAAAAACTGAGGTAGTTGTTAAGAGTAGGGCAAGGTGACATCTCAAACGGGTCTATAACCCAGACGTCCACTTTTATCGTCAAGTATGTATCTAAAGCAGTAATTTATGTTCGTTCTAGAGTCTCACCATCTGTATTCAAATACGCAGGAAGCACTAGCTGATCCAGGATTTAATTTTGGGGGGGGGGGCTTCAGCCCGAAACCCTTTTTTTCATAAAAATAACGATAATTACTTTGGAAAAACAGAAAGAAACTAACTACCTATATGAAATGGTGTTTAAGTTATTCCTTAAGTACTTTTAAATGTAATTACACAAACAATAATACTTTAAGAGGTATTTTTTAAATTTTTTTTTCCCATAAAACATGGTTATATTTTTCCATTTGGGGGGGGGGGGCTTCAGCCCGAAAGCCCTCCCCCGTAGATCCGCCCGTGGCAGGAAGTACGACATTTATATCATTAATATGTGTTAATACTACTTTCAACAATTCGATCAGCAATGTTCTGCACATAGTAAAACAATATATTTAAGCAGTAATAAGTTTTTTAAACCTCTTAAAAGTGTGTTAAATTTGAACACTCAACTTTAACACGGCTTGGGGCCTGGTAAATCTGGTATTAATTTTTTTAATGTGAAGGCAAGGTTATTATATAGTTCGGATCTTCAGTTCATTACCTTTGTTTTATGTAGGATGGGATGTGAAAAAAAAAAAGAATACGGAAAACGTTGGACAAAATAGGATAACAATTTGTTTATATAGTTAGAGAAAATCAGATGAAGTTCGAAGATTTTTCCCACCTTCAGTGCCTTTTAGGCTACTATTTCTCGGGTCGGGGAAGTGGACGGCGGAATTATACCGAGTTAAAAAGTCCCACTAGGCACCGGGATTCGAACTCCTAACTATTTTTCCATAGTTAACTTCGATTATCAGGTTACCTAGCAACGCGCGCAGTGCTACGCGTTAGCCCGCTCGGCCACCCTGCCCACCCGAAGTGAATGATGTTTATTTTCAATTATCCTTATAAATTTATGGTTGTCACCATAGGCGCAGAATACGGAGGGGATGAGGGAGGCAACCTCTCTCTTTCCCCTCCAAAAAATATGTTGGAGGTGCCAGAACGTCGTTTCGTTCCTTTCCCCCAATAATTTGAGGTAAAAAAAAAATTAAGTTGATAACAAATAAGCTGCATGAATGAAATATGAAACTAAAATGGATTAAAAAAGTCGACTGGCTGGCTAGCCTATGATCTAGTAGGTACGGAACTATTTTATCACGAGAATATTTCTATTATTTAAATTTTCATTTATAATAATATAGAAACATATTCTAGAATTTTATTATTCATTTACCTCTGATTTGAACACCTCAATTTTTACGTGATTTTCTTATAAATTGTCTGCAATAAAGTTGGAAAAGCACATTTAATAGGTATAAGTATAAATATGTTTTGTAGAGAATGTTTTGATGGACACCTTTACATAACTACTTAGGCTGGAAAAACATTGTATATTTATTTTAACGGCGTGCAAACTAAAATCAAAAATATTTTTCGTATCTTTAACGAATGATACATTACTAAAGTTACTTTGATTTTGGAAATCAACAACTATTATTATAATTCGTTGGGAATTTAGGTGGGAGGTACAGTCACAGAGAAATATAAAAAAAAAAATTAATTGTATACCAATGTTTCAACATAAGTTTCAGGGTTGTGAAAAACAAGATCCATACAATTCATTTTACAGACATATATACTTTTTTTCCCCCTGTAACTGCAATCGCAACTAACTTTTATCCATATTATCTAAAGTAAACCGTTTTTTCTCCTATTTTTATAATTATTTAACAAAGTCACTATGTCAAACATTGCAAAACAAAAATAAAATTGTTAAAATGGAAACCATAAATATTCTATTAAGAACATCGAATCATAATGTTTACCAAGATTAGATTTTTTAGAATTAGCACTGACAAAATTTATGAGCTTGTAGAGAATAATATTTGCTATTTGTCTGCAAAATATTATCTCAGAATTTAGACGAATTCAAGATATTTTAATCGCAATAACATTTTATTTCTAAAACGAAATATATATTTAAATATGAATACACATTTAACACATTTTTAACAATTTTTTTTTGTCATATTATATCATATTTTCGGGTTTGACATTTATTTTCATGTGTCAAATTTATGTTAACAATCAGTAATTGTGCTGAGAATACAAGAAATAATGACGTGTGAAGCATGGAAAATTTCAGGGAAATGCGACGTTACTCAGATGCAGCTCTTCCCTGTCTAGTTTCAATTAATTAGGTTGTTTAAGGAAGGAGATCTCTCATCCAACGCCTATTTAGTCTCCTCCTCATGTGGAGGGCTATGTCAGCTGTGGCTATATCTCTTATTAATTAGTTGTCATTGTACGTATTGTTATTTGCATAAAATTGTTGGTAAAGGGTCGTTATATGTTGGTCAACAGTTGGAAGGTGGAAGTCAGTATGTTGAGTATTGTTAGTCTCGTAACAAGTCTCGTAGACCGGGAGGCCGTGGTAATAAAGGTGTCATATTTCATACGATTTGTTCTTGACCATATCCACTGGATGAGAAAAATGCATGTCTTCCAGCATTTAGC